TCTATTTTAATTTAGAGAATAATTTTTATTTATATAATTCTTCTAGAAAAAAAATTCCTATTAATTTTTATACTTTTTCTCTATAGATTTATATTAGTTTCTTTTTTTCTTCTATTATATCTAGTATTTTTAGAATTTTATATAATTTCTAACTTTTTAGTTTAATCTATCTCTCTAGAGTTTAGAGTTTCTTATTATTCTAACTTATTTCTCCTAATATAATTTACTATTACTTCTAGTCTAATTCTAATATAATTCTTTTTTCTAATTTCTTTATTTCTTTTAGATCTTTCTACTATTACTAGTTAGAATCTATTATATATTTCCTTTAAACTATTTTAATTATTTTAAATATCTTAATAATCTTAAGAGTTTACTATTCTTTTCTATCTCTAGATCTAATCTAAAGCTTTATTAGAATTACTCTATCTATAATCTAATTTAGATAATTAATAATAAAATCTACTAATACTTCTAGTTATATAATATCTTTAATTTCTAATAGTAAATTTCTAAATTTATTATAGATTTTAATCTCTATAAGAGAAATATTAATTCTTCTCTACTTTTTAATATTTTTTATTATTCTAATCTCTCTTATTTTAAATCTAGTTCTAAATTAAACTCTTTATACTATATAATTAGATCCTATTAGTATATTATTTAAGCTTATATATCTTACTATTAAGCTATATATAGTCTATATTAAGTTAATTATACTATTTCTCTTTCTATAATAGAACTATATATATACTACTCTTAGTATTAAAAGATCTAATTAAATCTATTCTATTACTATTATAAATTTATCTATTTCTATAGTTTTTTAATTATATTTATTCTATAATAAATTATAAATATTTATATTTCTAAAAAATATATTATATTTATTTAGATCTAATTTACTAAGAGTTTAGATTAAAAGCTAAATAAAGATTAGATCTAAAGAGTTATATATATTCTAAATCTTAATTTTATATTTTAATATTCTAATTATATATTAGTTTTTATTTACTTTTATTTTCTATATTTTAAATCTATATATATTTTATATATATATTATATATCTTCCTTCTCTATATATTATTATATATTCTAATCTTACTAGATATACTAAAGTAGTTTTATTTAGAAGTATTATTATCTCTTATACTATTATTATATTATATTTAATCTAGATCTAAAGTACTTTCTTTATATTATTTAGTATCTTTTATATATTCTATATAACTATTAGTTTTACAAGGGGTTTACAGGGTATTTACCCTTATAAGTCTCTATAATACAGCAGGGAAGTTCGCTATAACTTATAGTTCTTAACTGCTAACTCTGCTATAACTCAGTAAGTTTTAGTACTAGAGGGACTAAATATAGTATAAAATATAGTATAAAAGAATCTTATTTTTATAAGAGAGATCAGAAAATTCTATCTAATTTCTCTTATAGATCTACTAACTAAAAACTACTCTAAATCCCGCTAAAGCTGTTTCCCAGGCTACTTTTAATTTTCCGTAAAATTTATTAGCATAAGAAATCTAAAAAATTAACTTATAACTACTAAACTATCAGACTGATATATATAGCTTTTATAAGATCTACTTTTATCTGAAAGAGGCTCTTAAGCTGATCAGTTAAGTATAGATATTAGATATCTTATCTTTTAAGCTGAAGGAATTATCCAAGATCTAAGACCTAGTCTAGGGTAGGCTAGCTATAGGGTAGTCTGGGTATAGATTAGGCTATCTAGTTTATCCTAGGATTTTTCCCGGATTTATTAGACCCTTATTTGGGCTAGATAAGCCTGATAACCTAATAATAGGTCTGCTGGTGGCCTGGACCCCTGAGGGTTCCCGGGGCCCGCTAAGCCGTAGCGGTCATAGCAGCCTGTAGCCACTGACCCACAGTGGCTGCAGCCGCTATTGGTCAGTGATCGTAATCGCTATCGGATAGCGATATCAATCGCTATTGGTTAGCGTTAGCAGGGGGTTATTAGCAGTTGACGGCCAGTGGCTGCAACCGCTAACAGCTAGTGGTTAGGACCGCTAACAGCGGTCTGAACCCACTAACTTATAGTGGTTATAATCTCTCAAATTTAACAATAACTATATTTAATATTATTAGAACTAACTTAATTAGAATCTAATTATTACTTATTTTAAGAAACTATCTAGATTTAATATATTTTTATTTTATATTTAGTTAAATATATTAATAATATTTATCTCTTATATTATATTAATAATAATTCTTATCTTTTAAAGTATTTTAATTATAACTTTTAGTTTTTAATTAATTATTTTTATTAAATAATCTAGTTCTTTTTTTAGTTTAGTTATTAGATTAGATAGAATTTATTACTATTATTATATAGTTTTAACTTAATATCTAGAGCTTAATTCTAAGTTATTTCTTTTTAGTATTATAAATCCTATTAAGTAATTACTATATATTTCCTTTATTTTCTCTTTCTTTCTATTTAGTATAAAGTAGGCTTATATCTAGGCTGGATATAGTTCTTTATATAGTATATATATTAGTATATTTTCTCCAGTTTCTACTAGGTAGAGCTCTCTAGTTAAATATACTCTAACTATATATTAGCTATATCTTACTTACTTATTATAATAATATACTATATAGCTAATCTTATAATAATTATAGTATTAATATAGTTATATAGTTTTATAAAAAGGTTTATATTAGTTAATTTTAATATCTATAATTATTCTCTATTTATATAGTATATTTACTTCTTCTAATAAAACTATATTTAGAATTAGATTTTATTTTAATATAGTTTTATTTTATTTCTATATTAGCTTTATTTTTATAATTTTAATTTAATTTATTTAATTTATTTCCTTCTAAAGTATTTTAATATTCTAAGTAATTATTATAACTCTAATTTCTTTTATTACTATTATATATTATCTCTAGTTTAATTTTATTTTTAAACTAAATATTACTTTTATCTATTCTTTATTCTTTATATTCTATTTAATCTCCCTATAGAATATAATAATTATATTATTACTTCTTAGTTTTCTAGCTATAATTACTTTAGAATTAATCTTTTTATATATATTAATTACTTTAATTATATTCTTTAGATCTTTATTTTTTATATTAATTTAATAATCTTTAGTTTAAATAATTATTTTATAAATATATTAAACTAGAATAGATTTTAATTTATTATTAGTATATATATATATTAGGTTTATACTAAATATAATCTAAATTTAAATTAGTTTTAGATTTTCTTTTTTATTATTAAATATCTTCTTAATTATTTCTTAGATAGTTCTAATAATTATTATTTAAATACTCTTTATAGCTTTTTAAATTATTATTTCTATATTTAGCTCTATATATTTATATATTAACTCTATTTTAAATAGAGGTTTTATAATTTATTATATTTATTAAACTACTCTATTAGATATTAGTTTAGTAATTTATTTATAGGCTTTTCTTATAGAATTCTTTTTAATATACTTCTCTTCTGAATTTATCTTAGATTTAGTATATTTCTAATCTAGAAGAATATTAGAAAGATCTTTCTAAAGATAGTAAATATTTAATTCTAGATTATAGTATTTACTATTAACTTCTATTAGATAGTATTCTATATTATTAGATTATTTTTAATATAGTATTAGTTTTAGATTAATTTAACTCTATAGAATTAATTACTAAGTTTATTTTTAATTTTAATTAGCTCTTTATAACTATATCTAGTTTATAAGTAAAATTACTTTTTTTATTATTATTAATAATTATTATTATATTTATATATACTTAGTTATACTATATAATAATTTAAATATATATAAATATATAAACTAAATAAAAATAGTTTTTTTAAAATAATTTAATAAAACTAATAAAATTAATTAAACTAATAAGTATTAATAAGATTTTCTAATTAATAATATTATAATTAAAACTTAATAGATCTATAAGTATAATATTAATATTAATTAAAAAGAAAAAATTATAATTAAATTATATAATTAAGATTAATAAACTTCTATATTTAATTTTTATTAAGATATTCTTAGTTATATATATTAAAAAGAGCTTAATATAAATATAATTATATTATTTTATTATTTTTTAGAAAAAATACTGAGATATAAATATTTATTATTATATATCTTTAGTCAAGATATTTAGATTAATATAATATAAGATAAAGAAAGAAAATTAGATAAAAAGAGTAGTTTTAATAATTATTTAATATATAGCTTATTCTAATAGTAAATAAATTATTAATATAAAGATTTATAAAATTTCTACTATATAACTATAGGTTTAAGCTAATAAAGCTGTTTTTAACCTTTTATATTTATTATATTAAGTTATTAGATCTAATATCTTCTTTATTTTAACTTTCTATCATGACTCTCTCCGGTGAGGTCTCTTGGGAGCTGACTTCGGGTATCGGAAAGATCGCCTATCGGGAAATGAGGAGAATTGGATCCCCGCCCCGAATATGCGGGGTTACATCCGCGTACAAGCAACTCCGGATACTCGACGTTTCCTTCCTGGGTTCGTGTCCATAGCGAGGTCCGTGATATCGCAATACGCGTTTGCCTTGATAAATAGCGGCCCCGGCAGGCCAGGGTCTGGATGCTAAATCTCTCGCAAACAGCCCCGTTCCGGAATAGAGCAAAGCCAGAGTTTCCAGCTCTGGCCTTATGAACGTACCCTCCGTGCTTCCAACTCTTGGTGGTTAAAACCGAGCAAGCGGGCACTCCCCAACCCGACAAAGCACCGGCGGCGGTTTAAAGCCCTTCCCCCTTAAGCCTTGCATTGGATCGCTGAGCTGCCCCTTTCAATCAACCATACCCCGACATCTTCGCCGTCGGCCGAAGACAAGTGCAATGCCTACTTTCACGTCCAGCAGCGAGGAGGGCAACCAGAAGCCGACGCAGGTCCTTATTGAGAACATTGGTGCCTACTCGCATGTGAAAAGAGACGATGCCCAGGCAGAAATGGCGCCGGTCGTCGATGAGCGGAAGACCCTGCGCAAGATGGACTTGCACATTATCCCCATACTGTCCGTCTTATACCTCCTGTGCTTCCTCGATCGCAGCAACATCGGAAACGCGAAGATCGAGGGCTTGATGGAGGACCTCAGCCTCAGTAGCCACCAGTACAACATGTGTCGTACGTACCCAGGCAAAACCTCTGAACCAAGTTCGACTCTGGAGACCTTCATCACTGACAGGAAGTGGCCAGTTACCGTTTTCTTTCTGACTTACGCGACCTTTGAGCTTCCCTCCAACCTTGTACTCCGCCGGCTCCGGCCATCGATCTGGCTTCCGACCATCATGGTGTCTGTTGGTATTGTCATGGTCCGTATTCTCCTTCCTGACGTGCGCCAAAGGGAGGCGTTCCAGCTAATAATGGTGTTGATTTTGTTTCCAGACCCTTATGGGAATTGTTCGGAACTATCATGGACTTCTCATCGCTCGTATCTTTCTTGGTGTTGCCGAAGCAGGCCTTTATCCTGGAGTCGCGTTCTACATCACAATGTGGTATTGTCGCCACGAGGCACAGCTGCGGCAAGCAATGTTCTTCAGTGCTGCCAGCGTTGCAGGCGCATTTTCAGGACTACTCGCCTTTGCTATTGCGGTAAGGTCCTTTATTAAAATGCATGTTTGTGGTCATCTGGCTGATGATTTGACAGAAAATGGATGGTGTCGGCGGGCTGGAGGGCTGGCGCTGGATTTTCATCCTGGAGGGCATTCTAACAACCCTGGTGTCGGTGGCATCCTACTGGATTATTTCAGACTACCCAGATACGGCAAAGTTCTTGACCGAGCAAGAGCGTGCGTGGGTGCTTGATCGTCTACGTTCACAGTATTCAAGCAGCGCTGGAGTATTGGAGCAGTTCCAATGGAGGGCGGTATGGGATGCGTTCTCTGATTTTCAGATATATATGGCGCTCTTGGGTAAGTTGGAGCTATGAGACAACATTTCACTTTCGACGAGCAGAGGTTTCCCCTCCCTCCCCGGAGCAATGCTGATACTTTATAGCTTGGTACGGCATTGCCTGTCCTCTTTATGGTGTGGCATTCTTTCTCCCTACTATCATCCGAGATTTGGGGTACACTTCATCCCAAGCACAACTGTTGACGGTAAGAAGTGTTTGCAGAATCTTCTGGGCAGAAGCGGTGCTGATGTTTTGATGCAAGATTCCAATATACGTCACCGCCGCTGTCATTGCCGTGGCGTCAGCATACTTCTCCGACAAGATGAAGAAGAGATCTCCATTCTTGATGTTCCACCTGTCCTGTATCATCCTTGGTTTCATTACTGTTATTTCTGCCACCGGCAGAGGCGTCCCGGGGGTCGTCTACTTTGGCATTTTTGTTGCCGTCTCAGGTAAGGTTGTTCTTGGGAGCCACGTCGGGAAGGATTCCAGCGTACTGACGCGACCATGTTTGAAGGCATCTACCCCGCGATTCCGAGCAACGTGACATGGCTCAGCAACAACCTTGCAGGCGATTATAAACGGGCCGCAGGAATGGCGCTCCATATTGGCGTCGGCAACTTTGCCGGTGGTAAGCAGATGTGCCACTCAATCCACTGTCGCTTCAATCGGAGAGCAGCAAGCTGACACGCATCCTTCTTGTATGTAGCCATGTCCTCCAACTTTTATCGTGCGCAGGATGGTCCCACGTTTTATTTGGGACATGGACTGAACCTGGGCCTCGCAGTGCAAGGCTTCATTGCCGCTTTGGTGCTGAAACGTATCTATATTCACATCAACAAGAAGCGCGATGCCGTTGAAGTCTCATCGATGAGCGGAGACGAGCTTGCCAAACTAGGCGACAAGTCTCCAACTTTTCGGTACATACTCTGAAATGCTGGGCAATGTCGTTGGGGTACCTTTGGTTACCTGTTCAAACACATTCGAGATTTCCCATACATGCAGAGGGGCGGGAGGCCCCAGACGAGGTCCCGGCTAAAAAGCTCCGAGGGTGGGCTATGGGATGCATAGACAATGGGGCCATGTGTAGAGACACCGGGGCGGGAGGTGGCCTATCAGCACTCTTTGCCATAGGCTCTTGATAACCCATGTATTATTCCAACCCATGCCCTTTTCGTGCGTTTTTAGAGATGGGCTGTCCTCCATTTGTTTGTGCCTATCGTTGTTTTATCATGTTTATACTCGGTGGGCACGTCTGGTTACCTTTATCGCTGCAACCAGACCTGGTCGTCTGCGTATATAAATATGATAATACTGAGAGACATGCTGCCTTCCATCAATCACGTTTGCTCCCAGCCTAGAGCCATGAGTGTGATGCTGTCCTCTGCAAGCCTGCCACTCGGCGCTGGTTTGAATTCATGCAGAGATATGAGTCTAACCCTCCATTCTTGTGGTCCAACTGTGGACCAGGCCAGTAGCGATAACTCACAGCTCGTGTCGACAAAGTGGGGTCAGTCGGTGAGTCGTCGTGTAATGCAGCCCCGCCATTGGCCAACTACCCGATCGATGTTACATTGACATTGTTACTCGGGTAGGCCTTAAGTCAAGTCAAGGGCTCACGGCCATTTGCGCGATGATTACTCCCCAGTATCTTTAAAGCTACCGATAAGATAATGAAAGGCAGGCTGGGGTAGAGGGTTACCATTCTCTTGGCCCCTGCTCGAGGTGCGCCTCTTAATCCCAGGTCCCCGTATATCATCCGGTTTAATCAAGATTTCTATAGCTAAAATTAAACCCACCTCTTGTTATATCCGTTGGTGTCGCCCTACAAGTGTTATGATAACCTCGAGATAGCTTAGTGATTAGAATCAAAATCTCCAGTATACTGATACTTAACATTTGTCTATGCCTTTCTCGTGGTTACTACAGAGATCGAGGCTATACCGAAGATATCGCCAGCAAGTCAAAGAAACGCCGTGCTGCTGCGACATATACTTATTGTCGGAGTCAGGCTAATATATTGATTGTAAGGATACAGTCTCAACTGGCACGACCGTTTCCACACAGTCAAGCAAGGCATGTTAAGGTTCAGGGGTATAGGGTAGGACAAAATCCTACCTGCCCCTTGTCCACGTAACGACCAACCGTAGGCTCCAGCCATAAATAAAGATACTTGGTTGTAGCCTCGAGATACGCTCTTCTTTAATCAAGCTATGTTATCTTAATTCTCACTATCTCTCAAATCCTCGTCTAAGAAGGCGAGCCCAACCAGTGGAAGAGGAGGGATATGGGGCTTCTGGAAGACGCGAACTAAAGATTTGGAGCCGTAAAGAGTCTAGCGCACCTGGCTTTATGAGGTTAGTCCTCCTGGGCGTAAGAATTTTTCATACGGCCATTCGGGCAAATGCGGCCGAGAAACAATCCACTCTCGGAGCGACGTTAACGCGCGAGGGATGTGTAGCATCGCTACCCCGCATTACCCCGGGAAAAGGGCCGTTATGAGGGCGTAAACTGGAGTCGGCAGAGACCTCGGTCTGTCTCTGCACATTTTCCTAGACAAGCCCCTACCCCATGGGGAAGACATTGTTTTGAGGAGGAACGACCGAACCCAGCGACCGACTCTCACTCTCACGATATCTTCGTCCTTGCCCTGAGCCTGGCTACATGTGAAGCTGCGTTGGTCTTCATCAGGCGTGCAAATTGTCCACTTCCAATGGCGTCGGTGACGACAGAGCCTAGCCTTACCTCGGGCCACCCTGGATCTGGGCCAGGCATTCGGCCACCCAGACGGTCCGCTCAGGCCTGTACACGATGCCGTCAGCAAAAGGTTGGTTTGCGCCACAACTCGATCGGACCCCATTCTCATGTCGGCCATGTCTCATAGATGAAATGCTCTGGCGGACCTCCGCCCTGCGATCGATGCCTGAAAGCCAGCAGTGACTGTATATACGAGCCGCCTGCTCCAGCACACCCTCCGTATCATTCTTCTCCTCCGCTTCGTGTTCCGTCGGCGACTACCACGGTGGCTACAGCTGTGAGCGCCCCTGTGCCGATAACGACGCAGGCCTTCCCCATCATGCAGCCGCTCGGCTCCTGTACAAACCTGGCAGGCCCTCAGGAAGGCTCCCCAATCTGCTATGAGTACGCGACTCCCAGCAATACATCGGCCCTCTCTCAGCGCCTATCGTCTCCACGGAACAATGTGACCCGCCCCTGTGACACAATAAACGTCTTCGCTGCCGCGTCGCCACCGGGCCGTCCTAGCAAGGAATTCGAGTTATCCCCCCCCGAGGACGATGAGTCACTTAGTAGGAAGCGCCAACGTGTCTCTTACGGGCGCGCCGTGGATGACGAGATAAACGTGGAGTCCTCTGCCCTTAGTCAAGAGAGTCCCAGCGCTTCCTCGCCGTACGAGACTGTTCAGGCCTTTGAAGCGGCACACCGGCGGAGATCTGGATCTGGTGCAAGATCCTTGTCGCGCACCGCAACTCCTAGCTCCGAAGCTGAAAGAACGGTATCGCGCTACGCCATGTTTCCCAAGTCAACTACAGACCGAGCTCCCCTGCTTCACTGTCTATCCGAGATCGATATCCAAGTCGATGACGCCCGGGACATGTTTGCGCTGTTCGGCGAGAGGGTGGCGCCTTTTCTACCCTGGCTTTACGATGCAAACCTGTCTGACCTGCCCAACGATCCTCTGTTCGCCTTAGCAGGTATCAAAGTCATCTCAAGACACTTGCCTGGAGTGAGCAACCTTAGGAGAAAACTGGATTCCGTCCTGCAGACTCTTGTGCGCAATGTGCTCTTTGATGACCTGGGACGTCCTTACAAAGCTGCTCTCGAGACTATGAAAGGTCTTGCAATTGTCTACGGCTATTCCGAGATCGGAGTCGCCAATTCACACCTCAATGCAGACCAGTCAAGAGCCGACGTCCTATCGGTCAAGGGCGTCATCGAAGGTTATGCGGTGCGGTGGAATATATGCAGACCATACCCATCTAATGTGGTTGGCTGTGTGACCTGGCTTTGGCTTTACACCATGAGTAGCTAGTAAGTCTTCACGAGCAATCCGTCGTCATCATCCGTACTTGTCACACCCATACCCGTTACATCACACCCATGTTGCTAATGCCATTGGCGTGGCAGCTATTCCAGACTGCTCGGCTGCCCCAATACTCTTTCGGCGAACAGAAGCATTTTTCAAGCAAGAAATCTGGTTAAGGAATATGTCTCTCACCCTCAAACTGCCGTGCTTCTGGGTGAAGTAGATCTGTGTTGTCTGACGGACCCGCAATCCCCGACCTTCACCTGCAAACTTGCGGATGCCCCGAACAAGTTTGATGACTGGAACAACGTCTGGTCTCCCTTGGAAAGCACAGGTATGTATGCAGTTCCACTTCCCTCCTGAAAGGCTATGGCTGGGGTGCATTTCGGGGTTTCTTCCCCCTTTGCTTTGTCGCTCTCTCATTGTCCCAACACAAAAACTTACACAAACTCTTCCCAGGGAGCGCCATGGCTCGGCGACTACGTTTTCATTTTCGATTTGCCAAATTCTATCATTGCAGCTCCCACATGAGGGGCCCAGCTTCAGCGGGAGTAGAAGTCTTAGACACGGCGAGAGCGTTTCTCCAATGCATTACCAAAATGTCACCGGTGTCAAAAGATAGGATCAAGTACATGTGCGATTTCGGGTTCCTCATGCTGGTTTCTGTATGCTGTTACATTCTCCAAGCCTTGGAGTTTTCTCGATGTACCCTGGTCAGTCCGGAGTATAAAGCTGCTTCGATACGAGATGTCCGGGACGTTGCAGACCTCCTCAGGTCGCTATCTTCATCTCAAGGAGCCACCACCACTGCCTACGGCCAAGCACTTGATGATGTCTGCGACGTACTTCGGCGGCGGCTATCTTCAGATCCGGCGATATGTCGCGGGAGCGTTAATGAAGAAGGGAGGCCGAGGACCCATAACGTTCAGACAAATGGCCTCGGTGAAAAAGACAAGGGCCCCGATTCGGATGTCGTTCGGCAATCCGGGTTCGAGAGCCTGGGATGTGAACAATCGGGTTTTGATTTTCTCAATTCAGATGATCAGATAAACCAAGGGTTGGGTGGGGACCTAGCTGGGGTAAACGACCAGGTGTCATGGTTTGGGAGCCTCTCTGAAATACAGGGAAGTGTTCTACTAGATGCATTATGCGCATCCTGGCAAGGCTAACGCTGAAGGGTGGGAAATGAGTGAAGGCTATGCAATAATTAAAGCTTCCTTACAAACAGGGACATATCTAGCAACACACATTTAATAAGCACCGAGGCATACAGCCCTAGAAGCGGGGAGACGTAGACTATTACCTTGCATTTGTACGCGCCCACAACTGGATCCTTACCCGAGCGGTCATGCTCACGGACTAAATGGCCGGTCGTCCTAGACTCTCCTTGACAAAGACCGACACTCTAAGTCGGCCGCGGAACACAGCAAAGCTCTACTTTGTCGGTCCGGCTAAGGACAAGAAACAATTAGAAGCCTAGGCAGTGTCGGGCCAAATCCAAGAGCTTCCCAATAAGTAGGCCCTCATAACCTGCTTTCAGTTGCTACAGAATGGCAAATGAAGGATTCATCCCGTTTCATAGCCCTGCCTTGAAGAATGCTGGCCTTTCGTCCGCATCACATCCTGCTTTCCGTCTTGTCAAAATAGGGCTGCTTTGACAACCCTCCGGACCGAAAACCAAAGGCGAAAAGGGAGCTCTGTCTCCTTCGTTATATGATGGGTAAGCGTGTCATCGTAATGGGGGTTATGGAATAGCAGGTCGTGCTCTAGTACCACATCTCCTGGACCGGGGCCATGCTGTTTTAAACCTCAACCTCGATGTGGCATCCCACCCCCCAATTCGAGATTGGACACCGTCTTAGGAGAAAGAAATTAAGTTCAACAGCAATGAAAGCTGCCAGGGCCCGACAACTCAACTCAACGAATACTAAAGCTTATTGGCACCATCAAAGTAGACCTGGCCTAATTCAGACAAGTCTTCAATGTTCTCACCTCATACTTTACCCCCCGGACTCTCATTCTCGACTAAGTCATTCACTTGGCCGGTTATGGTAGGAAGTTACTTATCCCGGACGACGAATGTCTTCAGGGCAACGGCATTGCAACGTACAACATCATAGAGACGGCATGCAAGCCAAGCGTGAGCCAGATCACTATTGCAAGTGTCCCTTGAGCTGAGGGCGATTGGAATTTCACTTATTTCCCTATTGATCAGACGGTGGAGCCACGTGCAACAGATTCCTACTTGATGTAGAAGTTGTGCAGTGAGACTGTGGCCAGGTCCTTTGCAGACAAATTCGGCGTGGATATATACGTGCTGCGGGCATGGGATGTAGTTGCGGAGAAGGACTACGAAGAAGCAATTGTACCTTACCTTAACGGACCGAGTCATTGGAAGGTCCATGGATGGTCGTATAGTAAAATTCGAGACCTGCCAAAGATGATCGGGTGGTTTGTGAACAAGGATAGTTTTGGGATTCCAGACCTTTAATGCCGTCAATAACGATACAACGCCAAACCTGGAGACCAGGGACCTTACGCAAGTGCCCAGATTTGCCAGTGCCCCCGCAGCTAGACGGCTGAGAAGCCCCTAAAAGAACCAAGAAGTTATACAACTAGCTAGGCTTTCAGTAAAAGCACAGATGGCGTGATCACGTTGCACTTGAGGAAATATAAGGATTCATGCATTTGTATTGTCTACCTCTGGAAAGTGCTGGCGGAACAGTAACTACAATTTACTGCAATTTCGAGTGGATCTACTTTCTCCCTCCTCAACTACGATGTTCTTGGGTGATGACATTGGAGTACGATAGTGTCTGTCTACGTCTCCTCAACGGCAGCCAGATTTTCTTAGCACAGAACGGATTTGACATAACATTTAGCAGACTAACTATACTGCGTTGAAGTAAAGGGAGGAGGAAAACTAAATATGATTGAAAATTCCCCAGTTCAGCGTGGAATGAATCAAATACAAAGAAATAAAGCGTTGGAAGTTTTCATCTGGGCAATCGTGTAATTTCATTCGATCGGCGATTTAACAGAGGCTTTTATTGGTTCCTCTCACAGACAACTTTTGAGATCTTCATACTTGCACAACAGACCCTGAGGATCCCTCGCGTGCTGTCCCACCTCGAACATGATAGACTTTGCGTCCATTACGAAGTGACCATTTATCCATCGACGGAAGGGTGCCAGAGACACCTTGATTTGGACCCATTTTGACTGTCCAGCTTCAAGCTCTTCGGCCTTGAATCCCGCGAGTAAAAAGTGAGGAAAGTCATGTGGTCCAGGTCCCAGGTCGGGGCGTCCATATACCTGCACAACGCACCATCCAGATCTGCTGCCAGTATTCCTCATCATCACTTTGATCTTAATGTTCAAGTCCACATCAGGCCAAGATCTGCATAGCTCTGCTTTCTCGATCTTGAACTCAGTATACGAAAGGCCATATCCGAGGGGATATGCAGCTCTGACTCCCATCTTGTCGAGCATCCTCTGGCCGAACCATTTATCATAGGTTGCTTCGTTCGTGCTTGCCTCGAAAGAAGGCAAATGTGCCTCCGATCGTGGCATGGCCCACGGCAGTCTCCCGCTTGGGTTCGATTTACCGGTTAACACGTCGGCGAGAGCGCGACCATTCTCACAGCCATTATACCAACTTATCAGAATCGAGGGCACAAGTTGACGCCATTCTTCAGTAATGACAGCTCCTGCGGTGATAATTGAAACCACTGTGTTGGGGTTCGCCGCGACAACAGAGCGAATAAGTCTCACGTCTTGCGGCCTCAGACGGACGCTCCTCCGGTCACCGCCTGTCGGGCGACTAGCCAAGTCATCCGCGGGTCGGCTCCCATCTCCTGGGTCTGGCCTGTTGGCGGCATCAGCGGCCTTTTTTCTGCCTTGCTGAACCGCTCGAGCTTCAGGGGAGTTGTCCGGCTTGGGGAGCAAGGCTAAGGCGTCGGCATCATGCTCGTGGGAGGGCTTGAGGAACTCTCCTTCATCATTTCCATCATACCCAACAATGATGATGGCCACTTTGCTTTTCTTAGCCACACGAACCGCTTCTTCTTCGTCATCTGATGCTGAGAGATGGACGATAGTATTAGGCAGCTGCTCTTTGATGCCTTGATACGGAGACGTGACCTCGGGGCAATCAACCCAGGATGAGGCTCGGTCGCCGGTTAAGGCTGAATTAGCGTGACGCCCAATAACTGAACAGCTCTTGGTGTTAGGATCAAGTGGCAAAAGAGGTTTTTCCTGTCTTTTGTCGTTCTTGAGTAGCACAATAGCTCTAGATGCTACATATCTAGCCAGGTCCCGGTGTTCCTTGCAAAATATAATGTCCTGAGTGGGCTCTGGAGTCTGGCGACTCGCAAAAAACCTGAGTTGCGTTCGAATGATCCGGGCGGCGATCCTATCGATATCTGACCATTTGATCTCTCCGGAATCTAAGGCGAGTTGAAGCGATGCTTGACGACGGTTCTGGAAGGGAGCTTCGATATCAAGGTCAGCCTTGACGGACTTCACGCCATCCCGAAGCCCAAAGAGCCAATCTGTGATTGTGACGCCATCAAATTTCCACTTGCGCCGCAGAATGTCACGGATTAACACCTCAGACTCACCGGACCACTCTCCATTAACAGCATTATATGCCGTCATAATAGAGAGCGCACCGGCATCGACGCAGCGTTTGAAATGTGGTAGAAACACTTCGTGAAGGGCGTCATCATCGATAGTAACATTAACACGGAACCGGGAGGTCTCCATTGAGTTGAGGGCATAGTGCTTGACACAAGCCATAACGTTTTCTTGGAGGCCGTGAACGTGAGCTACCCCAAACTCTCCCAACAGTAGAGGATCTTCGCTGTACGTTTCCTGGATACGACCCCATGCAGGATGCCGGGGCAGATTGATACAAGCACTCCCAACACAATTGGCGCCGTAGGCTCGAGCCTCACGACCAATAGCCAGGGCAATGCGTTCTTCTAGACGCGGCTCCCAGGTTGCACCCCGGGCCATGCTGCAAGGGAACACAGTAGCTTTATTGATATTAACACCGCGAGGACCATCGCAGTACTGTATCCCGGGAAGGCCTAGACGCTTGATCTCGCCGTGTCCGTAAGGCTTCTTGGTGAAGACGCCTCCGAAAAGGCCAGCAAAGCCTTCCCAAAAGGGTAGATCACCTTGCAGTAATGCCAGCTTTTCCTTTCGAGCAAGTTGATCGAGCAAGCCAAGGGCAACATCGTTGACGCTCTCACCAGCCTGGACCCGAGAAACCGCCTGTTGGAAACCGAAAGGTTGCGTCATGTGGGCTTGAAGCGTGCTAATCGAGAGCGCAGACCGCAAGTGAAGGGCAGAAGCAGAAGAAAATCACAGCTTCAAGGGGTCTGCCCGAAGAGCAGGCGGAAGATGATGATGAATATACGAAAAATGATAAGAAATTTCAATACCGAGCTATTGGTAAATAAACTCTCCCCTCTCTGTCTATAGTGTGGTCTTTATCTTGCTCGATGTTAGGCTTTTGCTCGAGTCGTCTCAATTAATCCTTCGTTATCATGAACCTCGAGCCGTAAGGAGCATGCTCTGAGCACGGGTTCCGTGATGCCAAGACCGACCCGGATGGGGCCTCGGTCCGGAAGAGCTACATCGTCAGCAAGATGATAAGTTCAACCGCATACTTCCTATTTGAGCTTAGATTCGGTTAATTCCTCTCATGATTTCATAACTAATGCGTTGTTTTACAAAGTCTGAGTCTGTATACTTCAATATTTCTGTATGTCTGCTTTTATATGTTTTGATGGGTAGCTGGGACTCAAAGCCTTGAACAATATGCTTTGGACAATGCATTTAATCTTTTCTACAGCAACTTTAAGATTATGTCGAACTTGGCAGATCTTAGGGTCCCAAAGCTCTGTGGACCCTTGCCCCCGACAGTTCTAGAATAGGCTTCACTTTCTGCATAAGATAAATGAATTTAGATCTTAATTTTCCATCTGAATTTATTTATCAGAAAATTTTTGGGTACTTTTTAGACCTATTCTAGATATTAAATATCTACAAATACCTAGAGGTACCTCGTGCTGAAGTCTAGACCTAACTGGTTAAATTCGAAAGGGACCCCTCCGGCCCGAAAAGGGAGCTACCGGCCCGGAAGATGAGAGTACTCTCGCCACAGTGGACTCTCCTGGGAATTCTGATATTGCGAATTAACGTGTCTTTCAAGATGCGGGGAAGTAATTGGGAAATCCGAGGAGTTATCGAGTGAACTCTCCAGGGAACCCAGCCACTCCCGATATTGTGCAACTTGGACCCCCGTTTCTGCACCCGGGTAGTCGGTAGTGGTAATCTTGTTCCCCAGACACCGTCTATTTAGTTGCTTTACGCGTCGTTTCTTTCCAGTTTCGCTCTCAGCAACGAGCTTCTACCTACTTTTGCAGTTGCTCAACGCCTTGTCCATTCAGCATATAACACATCCTTTCTTAGTAGTTGAAACCCAAGAAACAAACCTCCATTGGTGCCTGCGCATCCTTTCTGTCACTGCCAACATGGGCTCTTCCTTCAAACTCGCCTCCGACGAGAAAATCGATTCCACCAACGGCAGTAACGGGGTCTGCATCGAGCACGTCGGTGGTCATTTAGATGACCATGAGCTCGAGTCCAAGTCCAAGTCCGACATGGACTTGGGCTTGTCTTTCGGCTTGTCTGAGAAGGACCAGAGACGTATCAGGCGCCGCGTCGACTGGCGTCTCGTCCCAATTGTGGGCTTGATGTACTGCGTGTCTCTTATTGACAGAACCAATGTCGCGGCTGCTAGTATCGCTGGCATGATAGAAGACTTACATTTGATTGGAAACAGATATGTAAGCCTTGCTTTGCATCCCGCATAGAGTTAATAGCCGCAGAGTTCTCTAACCCTCAATCATAGTCCATTATCACTCTTGTTTTTTTTACTACGTATATCGTATTCCAACCACCTTCGACTATCATTGTTCGTGCGCTCGGACCGCGAATTCATCTGGCTGGTATCACTATGCTTTGGGGCACGGTGATGATTGGCATGGGCTTCACCCAAAAATGGGATCAGCTGGCCGCACTTCGAGTTATCCTTGGTCTACTTGAAGCTGGCTTTTTCCCGAGCTGCATCTATCTCTTGAGTACTTGGTTTACCCGCTGTAAGTTGCCATCATAATTTCTTGCTCGCGCTGAAAAGCGAAGCTATTGAGTTCGGATTAGCTGACAGTGTTTCATAAAACATAGACGAGATGGGGAAGCGGTATGCTCTATTTTATGCCTTCGGAGCAGTTGCCGGAGCTTTGGCTGGTATTATGGCTTATGGGGTATGGCTTTCCCCCGACTCGTACGGTAAATGCTGACACATCTTTCTCTCTAGATTGTTCATATGCACGGGATCGCCGGGATGGGAGGCTGGCGCTGGCTTTTCATCATCGAAGGCATCATCACTTGCGTTATCGCTGCCCTGGGATACTGGCTCCTCGTTGGCTTCCCAGATGATAACAAAAAAGATAGCAAGTTTCTTACTGATAATGAGCGGGCCTGGATCGTTGCACGTGTCAATGCTGATCGTGGCGATGCTATAACTACCAAGTTTTCCTTGAAGAAATTCTCCAGACATGCCCTTGACTTCAAGGTATGGGCGTTTGGGCTTCTCTTCTTCTGTTCCTCGACACAGGGTTATGCCTTGTCCTTTTTTACTCCAATCATATTAACTATCGGCATGGGTTTCGATAAAACTGCAACGCAACTCATCAGCGTCACTCCCACATTGTTCGCCGCTGTTGTCATGTTCATTGTTGGCTGGATTGGCGACAGATGGAGAGTCCGCGGTCCGCTTATCATTGGCAACATGGTGATGGCTATTGTTGGCGTGACACTTGTTGGTTTCCACCCGGTTACTGGTGTTCGTTTTTTCGGATTATACCTCGCTTCTGCGGGCATCAACGCCAACCTTCCCGTTATCATGGCCTATCAGGCAAATAATATCCGCGGTCAGTGGAAGCGTGCCTCTGCGAGTGCAGTCATGGTAGGCTTGGGAGGCTTCGGAGGCATTTCAGGCAGCCTTGTCTTTAGGTAAGGATGGTGTGAATCCGTCTGGAGGTTTGATCTTGACTGACAACTTGAGAAGAATACAGGATGGTCCACAATTTCGACCTGGCTTGTGGGCTTGTATCGCTTGCTCCCTTGCAAGTATTTGTCTGGTACTCTTATTAAGTCTTCATTTTTTTATCAAGAACCGTCAGGCAGACCGAGACAATATAATCTTGGAGGATGACGAGGACTCTGAGGTATGTCACTTGAGTCACGTTCGATTAATCAAATAGAGAGCTAACGAGTTTCAAAGGTAATTAAGGAATCGAGGGCATCTTTCCGCTACACCTACTAGTGTGCGCTTAGGTCAACATGCTCAATGAACGTGAATTGTGTTTCTCGCATCTCACTCTGCATAAGATCGTGGCTTTCTAGTCTATACTTGTCGTTGCATTCAAACATAGTACTTCAGAATTCTGTTTTACCTTCTTGAATATAGTAAACAGGTTGGCTCGTTAGTAATTGTCTAGTTTGGGCCCCTCCAACGCTGGCTCTAACTTGGGTAGGCCGGTAGAAGTCCATCCGGGCTTAGCGGGGAAACGATGTGGAGTCCAAGCGTCTTCCTATTGATTTGTCTAATCTAGTACAATGGAATTTTAACCGACGGAATATGCACGTCGGAAAGACCGTGAAAAATGTAGCGATGGCTTGGCAAACTGTTACTTCGTGGCCATTTGACCCGAGATAGAAACTACGATCTTCTATATAGAGGTAGAAAGTGCCATGAAACGGTTCCGATCATCCGGTACTGACAAAGTGGCTTGCATAAAGCCTGGCTGCAATGAGATTCTACAAGGTCGGTGCACTTTTCATCTCGATCATTTCTGATGGCATTTATTCATTGTAGCAGGCACTGTCGTGGGCGCTCTTGTCCAAAGCTGTCCCATCGGCGTGGGCATTGCCAAAAGACCGAACCAATGACCAGGTTGAGGTAGAGATCGATGCAGGCACCTTCCAGAACCCCTCTGTCAATGTCCGTCCGCGGTTCCGTTACTGGGTCCCTGATGCAGCGGCCGAGCTCGAATGGGTCATAGATGACGTGAAAGAAATCGGTCGCATCGGGGCTTCTGGCTTTGAGCTGCTCGGCTTCTACCTGTATGGCGGACCACCTCTTGGTTGGGGTGATTATGCCCCTGTGGATTGGTCAATCTACGGCTGGGGAACAAAAGCCTGGCGTGAGTGGCGGGAAAATGCTCGATAGGGCAAATTTGCTAATCATCGTCCAGAGAAGCTTTTCAAGACGTTTGCGCAAGCAACAAAAGACAACGGCTTGATCATGGACTTCGCCATGGGTCCCAACCAAGGTCAAGGCGTTCCTGCTCCTTACAACGACGACGGAAAGGCATGGGACTTGGCCGTCCAAGAAACACGTTTTGGAGCCAATGTGACAGAGTTTGATGGAGCCCTCAAAGGATGGGGAACTGGCCCGCTAGAGGCGGTAGTTCTCGCGGGTTCACGAAAAGGAGGCAACGCGAAGGTCCTAGCCGTCAACACGCTTCAAGACATCACTGAACTAGTCAGCAAAGATGGCCACCTCAAGATTGACCTTCCTGAGCCTGAAGACTACAACTACATCTTATTCTCCGTCTACCTCATCCACTCGCACTTCATGGCCCAAAGTAGCCCACAGCTGATGAAAGGCCCGCAATCGAAGCCTGAATCATGGATCCAGAATGGTAGCTGGGCGGTGGATCACTATAGTGCGAACGGAGCTAAGATGGCAGCCAGGTTTTGGGAGGAAAATATGTTGACGGATGGCGTGCTCGACCTCGTTCGCGAAGTGGGCAACTATGCTTGGGAAGACAGCATGGAGATTCGACAAAAGGTCCGCTGGACAAAAGGGTTTCTCGGCCGATACAAGAAGGATCATGGGTATGAGCTCCAGAGGTTTCTTCCCGTTGCGGCTTTGGGCTACAACACAGACCAGTGGGATGAAGGTGAACGGTATCGAATGGATTACAGGACTTCGGTAAGTCTTTCAGCCTATTCGGTTAAGCAGAGACTAATTTGACAGGCCGCAAATTGCTACGGAGAATTCCTCGCAGAATGGAACCGATGGGCAAACGAAAAACTTGACGTTCAGTATTCGCACCAGGTTTCCTACGGAATGTGGATGGATATGCAGCAAAACATCCCCAAGGTCAACGCTCCTGAAACCGAAAGTCTCATCTATGACAACATCGTGGACAAGTACCGCCAGTACGTCGGACCCGCCAACCTCGCTGGCAAGCGCGTCATCTCCATCGAGCTCGGCGCCGACATCTATAAAGCGTTCCAGCAGACTTTGCCCGAGCTGATGGATATTTTTATGCGCTCTGTCGCTGGTGGGGTGAATCAGGCTGTTATTCATGGATCGCCGTACTCGGGAGGATATCCGAACACGACTTGGCCTGGTATGATGACGTTCGGCTACCAATTTGCGGATTGTCACAACAGACATCAGCCGGCTTGGGATGATTACTGGCAGTACATGGACGCGATGGGTAGGCTGCAGCAAATTATGCAGACAGGTGTGCCGAGACGAGATGCGTTGTTTTGGATGAAGCGCTTTTGGTTCCCCGGAAATGCTAGCTACGTCAAGACTGACCTCGTTGATGCTGGTAAGTCTCTCCATCGAGCTAGAATCTTTGAGCTGCTTGATTGACACTTCCTTGCAGGCTACACATACGAATATCTCAGCCCGGAAAATTACAAACTCGACACAGCTGTCGTCGAAGACAAGATATTTGCTCCAGAAAGACAACAGTTCAAGATACTAATCCTGCGAATCCTCGACTTCATGACCGTACCAGGTGCCCGCAGGCTTGCCGAGTACGCCAAAGCCGGTCTGCCGATCATCTTCGAGGGCGGCGTCCCGACTCGCATGTGGAATGCCCATCAGTGCCACGCCGACATAGTCAACAAGACCATGTACGAGATTGCCGAGCTGGACAATGTCCACATTGTGTCGGAAGAAGTTGGTTTGGCGAACACGATGGCATCGCTTGGCATTGAACCGTTGACGAAAGTCTCAGCCAATACGACGTGGTACACGGTCTGGCGCGAGGACACCAAGAACGATGTGGACTACGTCTGGGTGTACAATGAGGCCGAGAGCTTATCCACTGGCACGATTGAGTTCTTGTCGACCAAGATTCCCTACCAGTATGACATTTGGACGGGAGAAAGGACGCCTGTCGTTGTTTATGAGCAGACGGAGACGCGGACGATTATCCCTTTCACCTTTCAAGGGAACCAGACGACCATCATTGCGTTCCATCCAGAGCCTCTGGTAGATGTCCCTCGAGTACATCTTACCTCTGCGCCTGATAATGTGCTTTCGGTGTCTACATCAAAGGAGGCAATTAGCGTCAAAGTTGGCTCAATTGGCGAGAGCCTCCAAATCATGGCGTCGGACGACAGCGAGCACAACATTGACGCTACAGAGGCGGAGCCATTTGAGTTAGAGGAATGGGACCTCGTTGTAGAGCACTGGGACCCGCCCGAAGACTTCAACGACGCTCATATCACTGCCGTCAAGTCTAACTCAACGCACAAACTCTCTTCCTTAGTGAGCTGGCGCGAAATCGACGGTTTGGAAGATGCAAGTGGACGAGGTCATTATAGTACCAAATTCGACTGGCCTCCTACGTCTGGCGAGGTTGACGGCGCATTCATCGATGTCGGTCGGATCGTTCAGACGTTGACAATGTTCGTGAACGGAGAGCAGCTTCCGCCGCTGGACCCATCGCATGGCCGAGCTGACATTGGATCGTACTTGTTGAAAGGTGAGAATGAGGTCACGATTGTCATCGCGACGACCTTGATTAACAGGCTGCGACCCATTTGGTATGACATGAGGTTCTCAGGCACTGTTCCGACGCCTGAGGACAGAACACCGCCTGCCCAGGACTATGGATTGAGAGCACCTGTTGTGATTACTCCATACAAGGAGACACTGATCGAGGTAGCGTAGAACTTTCATCATGGAACAATGTAGCACTCTAACGTGAGATATTGCTTCTCGAGCTTGCGTGAATATCTTTGCATAGACACACTGGCGTACTTGAGATTATTTCAAGGAAGGGCTCCAATAAGCCGATGATATTCGCTGTCGACAGATTGACGTACTACTGCTGTTTCTGGGAGACGTAATATTTCCCAAACTGACTTTTCTCAGCACGTTTTAATACAAAGCAATATCCTAAAGCTGACTGCCATTGAAGTGTCTTCATGCGTACGAAAAGCATCATCACTCCTACTCATGTCCCCTGAAAGAATATTAGTTGTCGCAGGCCATCATGCTTGTGTCAGAGACCTGAGTGAAGAAGCTCTCCAGGGCCCGTCTTCATATTTAGGCCATTCTTAGGGACCGCTAGAATATCACCATTCAGAACATGAAGCCCGTTCAACGACCCAGTCGTGTGGCACAGACTGGTCAAGAAACCCCGTCATTAAGACCGGAGAAAGACGAGAGACGATCATCCTGCTGACGATTACGGGTGAAGTGTTACCCCAATTTTATGAGCTGAAGGAAGGTGAAAATTAAAGCTGATCGAAACGCCAGTGGTAGACAGAGATGCTAGGCACGTGGTGGCAAAGCCACAAACCACCTCGATAATTCCTCTTATGAATAATACGGTGCGTTTCTTCTGAGTACCTCGTCTCAGCTCACTGCATTTACTCTATTCCGAGGCGAACGGGGAGATCGGCTTAAAATTCCAAGATTTGGCGGCTGTGTACGGCAGCATACTGGGTTTCTGGAAGAGGCAGGACTGCGTCCTAATCCGAGGCGATCTTGCCCCGCAAACCCCGCCCTATATTTGCTAACCTTTATTCGGTCACCGGTCCGGGACTTGTGCCGTGGATGGTGAAATTCTCAACACTAATGTACGCCCACAATGAAACTGTTTATGGTAGCCTAGTGTACACGGAAGCCAGACCTGCGAGAACTTCGTAATGTCATTGAGAGTTATTTCTAGCCGAGCAACTTGACGGAGAATTCCGAGTCTCAACATTTGATGAAAGCTGAGAGATAAAACGTGAAATGCAAGTTATTGATCACTTTATTGATCACTTTATTGATCTGGAGCACTCTCAATAATTCAGGCTCCATCTTGGAGCAAATCTCATGTGAACCAAACGACAGGCTGGGATGGGAACCTAACTTTAATAGCATGGAAGTGATGAACGTCTTTACGTCGCGCTAGCTCAAGATGAGCTCGGCTATCATGGTCAAGTGTAAACCATGCGCATACATGAGTCTAGAGTTGTTCTATAGAAATGAACATTGAGCTCACTTGTCATGTAGACATCTATCGAGAAACAACAATGACCTTGGTTTGAGCCGGTTTCACACCACTGAGCGTGATCTTGTCGCCTAGCTTCCCGATATCTTTTCTGCTCCACACGTCCCTCACGTTGAGAGCATGTCTGTTGGAGATGTCACTCAAACCTGGGACCTCGGAGATAGGTACAGTGATATCAGCATCCCCGGAGCCGTAATTCAATGCCAGAATCACATGCTGCTTCCGACCGCTCTTCAGAGGCCCTGCCCAGACTTGAGTCTTGCCCTCAACAGATAGAGCGGGTAGGTAGGATACGGGCGTGCCGCCGTCATCCTGGTTCAAGGCAATGATTTCCTTGTTCTTTAGAATGGCGAGAGACGTGTCACTGATGTTGTTGAGATCGGCTCCTATGATGAGTGGCGATTTGAGGGCAGCCCAAAACGAGTAATGTGTCTGCTCCTCAAGCTCCGTCATTGTCCACGTACCGAGCTCCAACATATCCATGTCAGCTGCAGTTTTTGATTAGTAGTTGCTCTTTCTGCAATTAATAGAATAGCCTACCCCATGATCCCGGCTTTGAAAAGGGACTGATTTCCCTCATCTTGCGAATCATTGTCAGAACACTGACCCCGGCGTATCCCTGGTTCATGCAATAAGCCGTAGCGCAGCCTCTGGCACCATCTTTGGAGAAATACTTGTGAATGTCGCCAGACATGCGGTACGACTCTCCAATTTGATCAGCCCAAAGCCAAGGGAATTGGTTGCCCCATTGGCACAGGGAGTAAAAGATCTGACGTCCGGATTGGGCGAGGGCGTAGGACATCTTCAGAAAGCGCTCCTGCACTGAGAGGGTATTGCTTTGGAATCCACCGCAGTTATCGTACTTGAGGTAGTCGATTCCCCAGGTCGCAAATGTCTGCGCGTCCAATTCCTCGTACCCGTGGCTTCCGGGATAGAAACCACAAGTGTAGGTGCCTGCGTCACTGTAGATGCCAATCTTGAGACCCTTGCCATGCACGTAGTCGGCCGTAGCGGCGATTCCGTGAGGGAATCTCGTGGTGTTAGGACGTAGGGCGCCGTTTGTGTCCCGCTTGTGATCCTGCCAGCCATCGTCGATCACGACGTACTCGTACCCAAGTTGGGCAAGGCCCTTGTCAACAATGGCATCCGCCGTGGCGCGGATAAGCTCATCGCTGACATTCAACTTGAAACTGTTCCAAGAGTTCCATCCTATTGTAATGCTTAGAAACGATCCTGGATTTGCAATGGTGCTTTCGTACCTAGCTGCGGCTTTCTACCCAACCCCGACAGGGCAGCAAGTGCCGCATTGGCGAACAGCAGAGGCAGTAGGATCAATTTCATCGCGAATCAATGATTATGTGAGAGTTGATTGCTAACATCCGGGGAATGGGTGAATGCTGAGTGCGCCGCTGGCCATGTAAATGGACTTGCAGACTTGGAGGAATTGAATTGCTGGCCCGATCGGTGGCCCGGGAATCACCGGCGATCACATTCTCTCGGGCAGACAGCCCGTCACTCCCCCGTGTTTTCCCCCGCCACTGTGCGTCAAGACTTACAAAAGCTGCTGATCAGCACCACCCGGGGCGGAGATGAGATGGCCCTGATGGCCCCTGTCGGGCCATGTCTAGGCCCGGTCTCCGCGCACCTCATTGTTACTCGCCCGACGTTTTCGACATCTCGGTATTCTTAAAAGATTCGGAGCTTGGGAAAAGGCATCACTGAAGCATCAGAGAAGCCTGTCGCCCTTTCATTGACCGACGGCAGTAAGGACCACACTCAAGAAAGCCGCCGCCCTTCATCCTTCCCCTTTGGAAACATTTTCCTGTCTCAATCAGCTACTAGTGATGAAAATACTGTTCCTCCTCTCAATCCTCGGCCTGGTGGTTGTAGGCCAAGCCAAAGTATTCGATCGCCAGGTGTTGTCGTATGCGCCTATTCCGGAAGGAACCTATGTGCCGCCGAAGAAGTCAGGTGAAGTCACGCTTTTCGACTTCATCAGATCCAGAGACGACCTTTCTGAGCTCGCTAAAGTGGTCTCTGAAGCCCCTGGTTCGCACTCCCAATCAACCCCTCCTGACGCTATGAGGTGTCGTAATAGCCATGGGGAGTAGCTTATTGCTCGTCGTCTAGGATTCGCACAAGCATTCGACACAAGTGTCAATTGGCAGTATACTTTCTTCGCGCCCTCCAACACAGCGTTCAACAACACGGGCCAGTACTACAATGAGTTTGCTGGTACACCCAAAGGCCAGTGGTGGGTAGGCCAGATGCTCCAACATCACTACATCCCCAACTCAATCCTCTACGCCGCCAACTTCACAGAGGAAAAGACGCGCATACAATCCGGCTCGTATCTATTTATCGGAGCTCAGCTTGTGGACGGAAGCCTCGTGTTGAACAATGCTGCCACCGTGGTAGACAAAGACCGACCTGTTACCAATGTGAGTACATACCTCCTTACTTACAAATGACGGGAACGTAGCTTACCAAGGATAGGGCATCGTGCATGTGATTGATCGCATTCTAGCCGGGGATTCCATGATATACGAGGGGGATATCAAGAAAACCACCCAAGGCTTTATTCCAGGTTCATGCTCGGATCCTAACCTGCCATATTGCTGAGGCATTCGGCGTTGAGAATCGTGAACCTTTGGCCATATAAATGTACACCGAACTCTAGGAAGAGACAACTCAAACAATACTATCCCAGCTCTTTTTCCCGGTATAATACCTTTGCCTATATAGGGAAGTAATCTGCGGAAGTATCTGAATAGAAGTAAACCCGATCTGGTAGGAAGGTAAGACTAGACTAGTAATTACACTTTAGACCAGTTATTATATATATTGCAGATTTATCTGCTTTACCTCTTATAATATCTAGATTATTCTAAATATTATTATTATATTTACTTTATAATTCTTTACCATTAATACTATTAGAGACTTAGATTTAGTAGTAGTTATCTATAAGGTATATAGTAAGTATACTATTATAATAATATTATAAGGAAGGGGGTAAATCTAGTTCACCTACAAAGGTAATAACTAGCTTACTACTATCTTTAATATATTCTTCTAATTATATATATAGCTATATATAACTGACTAATACTTTCTTACTCTATTCTTCTCTTTATACTCTTATAATCTAATTAACTTTTAACTCTATTAAACCATCTCTTACCTTCTCTATAGTCAGTTATTCTTTTAATTTCCTATTATTATAAATCTTCTAATTTAATTATAAGATATTAATTTTAATCTTTAAAATAGTATTATTAAATAGTAGGTAAATCTATTAATACTATACTAGAAGGTATTAATAAGAGTACTAATAAGTACTCGCTTGACATACTTCTTATAAAAGTATATTATCTACTTCATCATCTAGTTCAAGAAGGCTCTTCCAAATATCTCAACTTCAGAATTACTAATTCTACTGATCTAATTATAATTCTTACTAAGATATCTCGAGATTAAATCTCATGCAAACCACTGATCAAACTCCTCTACACCTACGCTGGAAATCCTGCTCTTGTGTCAAGATTCTTTTCTTTTTCTTTTTATATTGACGCTTCTGATCTTCGTCGTTGTCCTTGGCTCTTTGCAACTCATCACCGGTCAGCGACTGCATCTGCTTGTTGGCCAGATTTTGGCGATCCGTTTCAACAGTCTCTAGGATTTCAAGGCTGCATTGGAATGCCACAGCCCAATCTCTACCAAATTTAGAATCTCCAGTATCTTGATTTGAGGTTTGTCCTTGGTGGGTGGAGCAGGCATGGGTATTACTCACCTCTCATATCTTCTACTGCTGAAATGCCAGATACTTTACTGACTAGGTGCTTCCAGAGGCTTCCCCTCTTCGCATCTGGGGAGGGCGCTGCAGACACAAGTTCTGGAGGGAGCTTGTCTTCCAGGATCTGATTTACATGATCGTTCGTTCTCTCCTTCCACTTGATTGCGTGGAATTCGGCACGCCCCCCAACGAAATCCCGATCTACAAATAAGCTTTCATGCTGGCTGAAAGCATTGAGACTATGGAGCGTTTCATCTCCTAGTAGCACATCGCACTGCAGTCTGTTTAGAACGTAAAAAGTTCTCCATGTAGACTTTCCACCAACGTCCAGCCAGACATTAACATGCCCTGTCAGCTTCGCAATGGATGTGTCGGCAAGCTCAACATATCCATCATCCGGTCCTAACTTCTCGATGGACCAGCCGCGCATATTGGTGTATTCCAAAGACAGTAAGTCAATTTCGGAACCAGTGTCTGCATTCGCTAAAACAGAATGCCCAGCGATTGAACAGCTTAGCTGGCGATGAGGAATGTCCATATAACACAGTCTCCAGCGCTTCTTCACCGTTGGAGCTACCTTTTTCAGGCGATGCCGAAATTTCGTGAGGGTTTCCGTCATCCTTAAAAAAGGATCACCCATAACCAATGCTGCCGCACAATTTTTCACAACCGCGAATGTCTGCTTGATCTTCTTCAAAGGATCATCGGGGAATGAAACTTCTATAGTCGTTTCGCCCAGTGATTGGAAAGACTTTCCCACAGCATTCGTAAAAGTATGCTGTGTCCCCGGACCCCGATCGATGACCGCGCCAATGGAGGTGGCATGTTCCTCAGACATGACGTTCTTAGACGCCATCGTGTCTGCTAATGCATGGTGAGTTTTGCCCTTCAGATTTATGGGCAGGACGTGCCTCTGCTTCGGTCCATCCAGGGATGCTGGTCGTCTGTGTCGGAGCGGCTTAGAGACAGAATGGATATCATGCCGCCACATACGGGCGGGTATAGAATTCTTAGAAGCAAGCCAATATAGCGGTAGACCGGCTGATCGGAGTGTCTCCTCCAATAGTGTTCGGTGAAGACTTATCAAGGCTTGCCACTGCTCCTTGCTCAACTCGCGGACACCGGAGTCGGGTAGCTTAGCATTGTCCAGTTCAATGCACTTGGTTTCTATCATAACAAGACCAGCATATATCCCCTTCACTTCAGCCACCAGTTGGTCGTGGGTGACTGGTCGAGTCTCTGGCTGAGGACGATCTGTATGTGTTTGTTCTGTTTGCCTGTAGAGCAGTCACAAATATGTTCCAATAGTGGTCTAGGGTGAAATGAACTCACGTTTGAACTACAAAGTGATATGCCTCGATAATATCCTCGTCCGTGACCCATTTTGCATGTTTTTGTGGATCGTTTTGGACGTGAGACCGAAATGAATCCTCATTATCAATGGACACAGGGTCCTTGCAAGAAGGGCAAAACGCGCGGGATGCGGAGACTTCCTGTTTCTTCTTTTTCCGCAAGTGCGTTACCCGCGCGGCGCTAATATCCATATGGAATACCTTTCCGTGGTACGGCTTCAGTGCAGTAAGGTTGATGGATGGCTTGGATACCGCTGGATCGTCGGTCGTGGGCGGGATCAGTGAAATAACAGTCGGTCAAGGTGTGTTGGGGTAGCATAGATCTGTTGATACGAGAGTGAACCGGGACCGAGAGCGAATTGGGCGTGGCAGCTTGGGAGTCGGGACCTCAGGTTAGCGGTGTTGGCGGACAGGCTATAGCGCTGGCGCCTAAGCTGATGGTGTCGTTGCTGCGGCAAGGCGGTGCAAGAAATATCGACCAAGCAAGAACAGTCAATGGCAACCACGATGGCAAAAGCTGGCCTCAATACAGCAGGATGTTCAGCTGGTGGTGCTTTTGTGGGGCTGGCGAGGGCGTCACACGATAACCTGACTCGAGCGGGAGCTGATAAGGTTGGGCATACCTACTGGTCGGTCGAGTGGGGTTTTTGGAACTACTGTGCTGCTGCCAGTACGAGTAGGCGCTTTCGGTGGGATGGAAGGTGCAGCAGGTTGCATGGTCTGGCCGCCGATCTTACAAACGTGGGCGCCAAATTGCGAATGAAACTAGGTGGGGGTGAGGGGAGGGGAATGGGTGTATGTATGTGCGTGGTCCGCTTGAAGAAGCCTCGAATATGACGGACCGAGGCGTCTGTGAATGAGAGGGATCAAACCGATTCCAACACTCGAAATAACGACATACCGCCGGTTTTCAGTCATGGGCTCTAAACGTCAAAATGGCGACCGATGAAGAGCAAGCAAACATTAGTGTTCACTACGTTACGGGCTTCGGCGAATTAGCCAGCCTTATCGCTAGCGACGAGGATCAAACCACTGCGGTGTATAAGCGCTTTGACAAGCTAGCAGCACGGGACTTGCTGTACTATGAATGCGAGCTTTTGGAACTTGAAGCCCTCCAAGATCAATACGATCGCGAGGACTCTCTCGACGCAAGAAAACCAGATAATGCCGATAATTTACAGCGGCGGATTCGCACAAATGCTCGAGATTGGGTGTCGTTCAAACACCGAGCTATGAAGGAAGCTGAGGCCAATGACAAAAGTGATGAGCGGTGGAAGAAGAGGATGGACCTCGCGATGGAGGTCCGGTCGACATTGAAAGAATACAGTTCGTCTCTTTCTCAACTAATCCCCCATAACTTGTTCGCAAAAAGTCTTTCCAAGCTCCCATCCAACACCATGCATTCCTCAGGGGAAGCCCTCCTGCTGAACTCGACGTTGCTCACGCTCCGTCCACTGTCTAAGCAGACACTGACGGCGCTATCCAACTACTTTCACCAACAACACGGCTTCGCGACATCCTCCGCCAGCCAACAAGCAACATTGCCGACTCTCTCAGGGGCGGGCTCAAGACTTTATCCCTTGCCCGGCACTCCCACATCACAGCGACCGATCGACCTTGTCTCTGTTTCCCCTCAAACGCATGCTGACCCGCTCGGCCGCATCCTCAAGACATACTGCTCGTGGCTTTTCCAGCCACGGAGCGCGCCTCCATCAACATTCTATTCCTCCTCACCCTCGCTATCAGCCCCCCATCCAGCCATGCCCTTAGTCACGCACCTCCACCCACCGCAACTGCAGACATACTCACTCCGATTTCTCTCATTCGCTGCATCTCTTATCACAGCGCTACTTGTCTGTTCCCTACTGTTGCTGCCTATCTACGGGCTGTGGAGCGCGTCTAGCTCGCGACTCGACTTGAAACTCGGCCTCATCGCCCTGTTCACGATATTATTCGCCTTCGCTATCCCGCTCGTCACTAACGCCCGGCGGGCCGAGCTCTTCGGCGCCTGCGCCGCTTATGCGGCTGTCCTGGTGGTCTTTATCAGTGGGGGCCTGGGAGGCGAAGGAGGTGCAGATAGGACAGAGGGGGCTGGAAGTAAAGGGTGAAAAGACTTATATATATAAAGAAAACTTCTACTTGCTAATAATATATAATAGGGTATAGGATATAGGCTCCAGGGTAGGAAATAGAGTATAAGAGGGTATAGTAGATCTTCAGATAGAAGAGTCTAATCTTCTATCTTAATAAAGAATAGCTAATTAATATCTATAGTAATTATATATTACATTAGTCAATAACTAAATTAATTAATTAATAACTATATATTATAATAATTAATCCTCTCATTATTAAAAAAGAAACTATATATAGATAAATAGATATAAGATTAAAACATATATCTATATAATCTTAGAAACTTTACTATAGTAAAGCTATACTATATTTATAAAGATAAATTAATATTAATTTCCAAATCACTATTTTTTCTATTTAGTAATCTCAGCCATGATTGCCCTTCCCAAATCTAAAGTGCGCGCCATCGGTGTCTCCAACTTCACCCCGGAATACATTGACGCGCTGATTGCTGCCACTGGAGTTTGCCCAGCAGTCAATCAGGTGGAGAGGCACCCGCTCCTCCAGTAAAAAGGACACTTTGATCAAGTATGCCAAGGAGAAGAGCATTCACATCACGGCCTACTCTGTAAGTCTTCCTTTGATGTAACTCAATCTCACCAACTGCAGATATGCTGATGCTTACAGGCCTTCGGTAATAATACCATTGCCC